CGGTATTAACATAAGGACAGGATGTACTGTACTGCAGTAACCCCCCCCCCCCCCCCCACGGTTGCCGTTCTGCTGCTGGTACGGCAGAATGAGCCGTGATTCGCTCACAGCTGCGGCTGCCGACTGCGGATGAAAAGTGAATGGTGGTGACCACCTGAAAAGGGGCCCCTCCTAATGCGAAAGGCTTAGTGACCCCGCAGTGTCTGTCTCTGCATAATAAACAGGTTTAGGATCCAGGGATGGCATGGGGGAGGGGGGCACCTTACTCATTATTTCCTTTACATGGCTACAATGTATATAAGGAGCTGCATGGTCAAATCGAGAGCTACCCCCCAACCTGTGTGCGTAACCATTAGGCTGGGAGAGCTTTCTGTACTTGGCATCAGCCATAATCTCTCCGTCTCTGTGTTGTCGCTGGCTGACCGGATGTTTCCCCTCCATTCCAGCGGTTTGTTATTTTGTATGTACCATATCACTCCCCACCAGTGAGTTAATGAATACAATATGTTCATTAACTCATGACCTGTCTCCTGTTAAAGCTTCTGTTTAGCGTGCCTCTATCTAGCGCACCTCGGTCTGGAGAGTCTCCGCTTAGCATGCCTCCATCTATCAAGCCTCTGCTTAGCATGCCTAAGTTTAGCGGGACCCTATTTAACGAGCTTCTGTTTAGCGTGCCTTTGTCTAGTGAGCTTCCATTTAGCGAGCCTCAGCTTAGCATGCCTCCATCTAGAATGCCTCTGCTTAGCATGCCTCCATCTACTGTGCCTCGGCTTAGCATGCCTCTTTCTAGCGTGCCTCGGCTTAGCGTGCCTCCGTCTACCGAGCTTCTGTTTAACATGCCTCCGATGAGCAGGCCTTCACTTAGCATGTCTACATCTAGCGTGCCTCCGTCTAGCAAGCTTCTGTTTAGCGTACCTCTGTCTGGTGAGCTTCCATTTAGCGAGCCTCTGCTTAGCATTCCAATATCTAGTGTGCCTCGGCTTAGTGTGCCTCTGTCTACCGAGCTTCTGTTTAGTGTGCTTTTGATTAGCATGAACATCAGCCTCTTCTGCACCGCCCAGATAAGTAAATATTAGCTTAAGGATTGTGCTGACATCAGGATTTGTTGCGCCTGCCGGGCATCTCTAATTTCCAGCAGTTTCCCTCCTTATTTGTTTTGTGTTTGCTGTGACGCCACATAATAAATTTGATGGAGATGCCCGGACGTGGTCGGGGTATGGCTGAGGACCTCTCTGCATGTAAGCCAGCCGGCCAATCAGATCCAGACAGATTTTGTGTGGAAGGCTCCCGCATGACCTTGCCGTGTGTTCTCAAGTCCGTTTTGCTCACCTGGCAATGCACGTCGCCATGGTGATGAGTAAGGAGGGTTATATGTTAATGGTGATACCCTGTCCGAGGCTGCAGAGCCCTGACAGCAGCACATGCACCTGCTCGCCACTGTGATGAAACGTCTCCTGATTTTGGCCCCTCTGCAGCCCTCCAAGAGTCGGGCAGTGGAATGTAATCTACTGCTGGGATGTGGGAGGCACACGCTGCCCTTCTGATCTCGCTGTTCCAATCTCAAGTTGATTCACACAGTTTTTTCCTTTTTTTTTTGGACTTTTGAAAGTCCTCGACACACTTTTCTCTCCCCGTAAACTTATCCATCAGCTGCTCACCGTTTATGTAACAGTTTCTATAAAAATCTAGTCACAGGTTTTCAGCTGTGCCGATGTAGGTTCCAGTTAAGGAGCAAAACAAACAGTCCTAGTTTGTGGCCGTTCGTGTTCGGTCTCCTACCACCCGTCTTCTCCGTTGCCTGTGGCTGTCAGAACGTGGCTAACATCAACTGAAACCCACTGTTGACTTTTAAATGGTGTTTTTTGGGTTGTGTCATGCATGGAGCGAATGCCGCTGAGAATTCGAGTCTGAAACTCGTCTCGCTGCGGGCCGCTCAGGTGGCCTCGTCGCAGCATGGGTCCTGCGCGACACCCCCGGAGGGGGGGACGGGGGGTAGACGAGGGGGTCTTGTGGCTTTCTTCATCCCTGGCGGGGCGATGGGGGATTCGGAATGATCCCCCAGTGAGGTGCCCAGCGTCCATCAGTGAATAAGCGTTTTTTAACGTTACATAACGTTACATAACGCGCACCGCCCACGCCGCCGGCAGGACGGGGGGGGGAGCAGCACTGCGTCCGCCTGACTCACTCATTTTGTTTTGCCGCAGTCTGCTTTGCAGAGCCTTCCACGTCCGTCTGACTTTCCTCCCAACTTCCTCTCGAAAGTTCTGAGCACCACCCTGTTCCCCTGTTGCTCTGACCCCCCCCCCCGGGAGCAGTTACCCCAAGAATGGCACGTGCTCCGGTGTGATGGGCATCTCCTGAAGTGTTAATGTCCCAGTTATGTGTGATGGTGCGTCATCAGTGATGCCTTCACAGCCTTACATAATGTCAGGGTCCTTATTGGGGGAGATGGTGTGTTTTTTTCAACATGAATGTCACTGTCTGGCCCCCTGTGGGTCTCCCGGTCCAGCTTGCTTCATGAAGCTCTGAACAGTGACATTTCACAGCAGACCAGTACATGGCAACAATTAAACTGTTGATGTTTTATGGCAATTATGTTATATAACCTTTTTTGTTTTTCTGTCACTTCTACTCAAAATATGTTTATCAAAAGTTTGCTGGTCTGGAGGGTTTTTTCCCCAAACTGGTTGTTAAACTCGTGTCAGATTGCGGCGGACGTGGCGAATCCCTTCTCCTGCAGTACTTCCCCTCTTATCTCATGCGGGCCGTTTCTGTGAGGGGGGGCTGTATGCCCTCAGTGTTCCAGAAGCCCCCCCCCCCTTTTCCTTGCTTTGGCAGGGCCTCTGTATGGGATGCGTTCAGGGAAAAAGAAGCCAATCAATCCGTGTCAATTAGGGGAGCGTTCAAAGCGGATTTCACCCCGAGAGTGGGATCGCAGGGGGTGTCATTCGGGGGGGGGGGTGGCTCTGCATGTGAAAGCTCTCCACTGCCTCCTTTCATCTGCCTCTCTCTGGTACCACTCCAGGCCCCCCCAGAGCCGGGCCCCGACTGCTGTCATTCATATTTAAGCCGTCTCCCGTTCCTGGCTTGGGGGGGGCGGCTGGGGAACCCCCTCCCAGGGCCAAGCGACAGGCTTGGAGCTTTTATGACCCTGAATAAAGATGGAGAGAGTGGATGGGCCTCTGTCACATGGCCTGTCCTAGGAACCAGGTGCCCTCCCCCTACAAATCACCCCCCCCAAATACCAGAGTGGCCTGTATCTTTGCTGCGGGTCAACAGTCACATGTGGGGGCAGTTTTCAGTCCCCAACTCTCACTGCACCCTGAACCAGCGGCTATTTGATTGACCCCCCAGCCTGTGCTTTCCAGTAGCTGGTAGGTAAATAATCTGTATGTGTCCCCTTCGTAAACCCCCCCCGCCCCTGGGAGGATGGAGATGGGAGTTGGTGCTGGATTCAGTTCACAGGCACACTGCTTTCCTGCGCTTGCCGGTGATGGTACATCGTGTCCCATCTACGGAGCGAGTGAAAGTCAGTGAGGACTTGCTTCACAGGATATTTTAAAGAAGGCGCAAGCGGCCCATTAATAAACATAATGTAGCGATATGCTTCATACGATATTCACTCCGAAATTAGCATTTGTCCCCTTGCATATTACATTTTTTGTATGTAATTCAGCAATAGGTGAGAAAGCACAATGCAGCCCCCTGGTCTTATAAGGGATTTAATTACGTACAGAGGAAACATATGGGCTTTCACTCCCCAGGCTGACTAATGAGTCCGGCCCGTGGCCGCTTTGCATGAAAATGGGCTGCTTTTACATAATCCGTGTGCCGTGCCTTTCTGTGCTGTTGATGCAGGCCAATGTGTGTATGTCCATGGGACTTCAGTTACAGAGATTCAGTGTATCTGCGTGTAGAAATCCTGGCTTTAAATAACCTGCTGAAATACTGCGGTCCTCGTTCTCAGGACCGGGCTTGGGGCTGTGTCACTGTGGGAGGGATCTCTGGACCAGGAGTCCTCAGGCTCTGACGGTGGCGGACACCTCCTTCTGTGGTCCTTTTGCGGGCAGCAGTTCCGGATAGCATTAGTGCCGCGCGGCTCTCAGCTGAGTGGCGATGCATGACTCATTCACTCCTCGCTATCATCCCACTCTAGATCTGCCCCCTTCCCTCCCCTCTTTCCATCCTCTGTTCCTCGGGTTCTCCCGCAAAGGCTGGGAGGTGAGCGGAAGGGGTGGGGGGCTGGGGTGTTTTGGAATCAAATGGGAAAAAAAAAAAAGAGAGAGACGCTCGGCACAGCCTCCCCTGATTGGTCAGCTGCTTCGCGAATGTGACCTCTCCCGTCCGGCTTGGCTGCGCTTAGCCCCGCCTCCTCCCCCCCTCCCTCTCCCGAACGACTCTTGCAGCCTCCATGCTCGGTGCTGTCTGCGTTCCAGAGAGGCTATCAGCTCCGCGCAGGGAGGACAGGGATTACCGCAGATGCAGATGAGTCGCGCTGGTGTGGAAGCCCCCTGATCGCGCGCAGTCCTCCTGCTCCCATCAGCCCGGTGCAGGCGCGACCTGCCATCTGGCCTGTCCCTTTTAATGTTTCAGGAGAGTTTATTTTCGAGGGGCTGCTGGTAGGACACTCTCGCCGTCCCTCCGTGTTCTCCTGTCTGACCAACGCGGTCCTTGAGACGATGCAGACCGTGGAGCAGAGTATCGGCTAAGCCGGGAGCCTCTTGATCCGATCCGCCACCCTTCCCCTCGGAAACTCCACTCGGCCGGACAGCACAGATTCTCGCTGGTGCCGGTCTCTGCGGCGTCGCCGCATCCTGAGCATCATCATGCCGTCCCGGGAATCGTGCTCGGTCAAAAAGGGGAACAAGACCCTGGTGCACAAGAGCAAGCAGGAGAGTGGGCAGCAGGACATACTGGCGGCCGCCCTGGGCATGCGCATGGGCCCGCAGAAGCCGCCTTCCACCCTGTGGCAACCCCTCAAACTCTTTGCCTATTCGCAGCTGACCTCACTGGTGCGGCGAGCCACGCTGAAGGAGAACGACCGCGCGCCCAAGTACGAGAAAGTGCACAACTTCAAGGTAAGGGCTGCAGCTGTGCTGCGCCGTCTTCGCCGCTCTGTCCCTGAATGACGGAGGCAGCAGAAAGAGATTGGGGTCATCGTGTCGGTTCTGATTGCTGTTTGGGGACTAGCTGAACGGGGCCTTCTGAATGTGAGGGGAGGATTCCCTTGAGTCTGCCTGTGTTTTAGTTTTGAGTCAGTCTGTCTGTCTGTGTTTGTCTTCTTGGTCTTTCTGTCTGTTTTGCTGTCTGTTTCTGTCTGTTGATCTCTGTGTCTGTTTTTGTGTCGGTGTTTGGTCTTTGTTTTGGTGTGTGTCTGTTGCTCTTTCTGTTTTGGTGTCTGTGTCTCTGACTGTTGTGGTCTTCTGGTCTGTTTCAGTGTCTGTGTCTGCTGTTTCCTTTTTGGTGTGGGTGTCTGTTGATCTCTCTGTATGTTTTGGTGTCTGTGTCTGGTCTTTCTGTTTCCGTGTGCCTGTCGGCCTTTCTCTCTGTGTCTGTGCCTGTCTTTCAGACGTTTGGTCTGTTTTTGGTGTTTGTTGTGGTCTTTTGGTCTGTTTTGGCGTCTGTGTCTTGTTTTTGGATCTGGTTCGGTGACTATATCTGGCTCTGCTTTGGTCTGGCTTTGTTTTGCATCTGCCTGTGTTTGTTTAGAGTCTGTCTGTGTTGGGGTCTGTTCAGGTCTGTCCATTGATCAGGGAGTTCTGGCCGGAAGGACTGTGGACAGCTCCTCACTCGGTTTGGGCAGCAGATGGGGAAGATTAAGGAATTGATGGGGGATGGGAGGGGGAGGGGTCCCTCTTTGGCTCATGTCAGCAGACATCCCTCTGTCAGATAATGAAGTGGTGTACAGAGGAACACAACCCCCCCCCCCCCGCACACACACACACACACACACACACAGACACACACACTGCTGACATGGGCAGAAGTGCCCTAGCACCCCCCACAGTTCCACCTCACCATTTTAAGCTCCTTCAGGGTAATTTTCCCAGAAGGCCATTTTCCCCAGTCTTCCTACATCTGCGATAGTACCGTCAGACCCATACCACATAGAATGTTATTATTACGTATGTTTACTTTCAGGCTGGACCACCAAAGCTGAAAAGCCGACTTTTCACCATAATATACAGCTTGGGGCTTTGCAGCTAGAGTGACTGCGTCTTTGTTTGTCAAAAGCAATTTATTGTGCCCCTAGATGACCCTCAAAGAAGCGTTTGCCTGTTCCCTGAGAGCCCCCTCCTTATTGGCTTATGATGCTCACACACTCGCAGCTGACAGGCCGATGGTGCTGCTGATGTAAGCATCGGTGCCGGCAGCTCAGTTCTCACCCCTTTCCCTAGTAATTTCCCCCTTTCTTCTACCGCCCCCCTCTGTGACCTCGGCGTCTCAGTCTTTCACGCCACACCCCAGGCCGCTAATCTGCCCTCACGGGCCGAGACATTTCTGACATTGTCCCCCGCGGTACCGTGAAACTAAAGTTAGACGGCAGCTTCGCCTTCCGCCAGCTTTTACTGCTCCTGATTGGCCAAACCATTACCTGGCAGGGCTCCCCTAGTTCGCTACGGTGGTGGGTCTCCATGACAACCCGCCCCCACAGACCCTGCTGTGCCGTGTTGGAGGCTTGCAGCACCCC